TTCTGTCGAAAAGTGAAGATTATTAACTCCTAGGAATATTTTGTGATACTCTACGGGATACTCTACGGGACTGTAAGGTTTGTGGAGTTTGAGGGATTAGCGGGGATTGCTAGAATCGTGGAATTTCCTGCGATTGTAGTGTTTTTGGAGGAATGTGGAGTTCGCGGGGATTATTGAGTTTTGGAGGATCGTAGAGTTTGGAGGCATATACAGTTTTGTAGGATTGTTGGATTGTTGATTTGGATGATTATGAGATTGTGGTATTTGTGGGGATTGTGTAAGTGTTGTATACTAAACAATAATTTCAGTGTCATGAAATTGAGAATGAGGTAAAATACGATGCTGCAACTAATATATAACGTACTACGTTCATTAATAATGTTATTTTAAAGATATATGGCGGCTGTAAGATTTTGTGAATAAAATGCGTATTGTGTATTAAAACCTTAAAAGTCACAGCCGACTAGTAGGAATTGTTAAGTAAGTGCAAGAAGAATCTGGCGCCTCACAATGATTACATAAATTGTCATGGCGCCAATTGTAAGTATTGCAAGACTCACTTTTGGCAAACTTCCAGTCGATACTTAGCATCTGTCTTTACCTAGCATCGGTCGTCACCTAGCATCGAACGATACCTAGCATCGGTCCACACCTAACATCGGTCGATACCTAGCATCGGTCCACACCTAGCATAGGTCGTTACCTAGCATTAGGCGTCACCAAGCATCGGTCAAGACCTAGCATTATCTTAGTATAGATAAGATTAAAACCAACAACAGATTTGTAATAAACAGCCGCAGCAAAAGGGTACATGTTAAAAATAAAAACTATTTCCAGAATTTTTTAGATCGAAATCAGATTTTAAAAATACCCTCTTATCTGATTTAAATGATTTAAATTTTCTAAATCTGGGCAGCGATTTTTTTTTAAAAGCTGCAATAACTTTGTAACCATGATTATTTGAAAATATAGTAAATCTGAATGTCTTAAAATGTATTCCAATTGGCACAACACATAGAATATAAGCAAACTTTTAAAACCATAACACATTTTAGTCTACTACCCAACCCAACCAGTCGTTTCTATCCAGGCGGTTTATTTCAAAATTGAACTTTAAGAATAAAATTTGTTTCCAATTAGTTTCAAGTACTATTTATTTGGAAAGTAATAAGGAAAACGATGACACGGGGATCCAATTATAAACAAAACTTTGAATAAATAATAAAAGGAGCTAAAACAGTAAACAGGCAAAATTCAGAAGCTAAAAGGCAGGCGACATAAAGCAGGCGACCAAGGCGATCTAAAGGCAGGCGACCTAAAGGCATGCGACCTAACGGCAGACGACCTAAAGGCAGGCGACCTAAAGGCAGGCGACATAAAGGCAGGCGACATAAAGGCAGGCAACCTAAAGGCAGGCGACCGAAAGGCAGGCGACCTAAAGGCAGGCAACCTAAAGGCAGGCGACCTAAAGGCAGGCGACCTAAAGGCAGGCGACCTAAAGGCAGGCGACCTAAAGGCAGGCGACCTAGACGACCTAAAGGCAGGCGACCTAAAGACAGGCGACCTAAAGACAGGCGACCTAAATGCAGGCGACCTAAAGGCAGGAGACCTAGGCGACCTAAAGGCAGGCGACCTAAAGGCAGGCGACCTAAAGGCAGACGACCTAAAGGCAGGCGACCTAGGCGACCTAAAGGCAGGCGACCTAAAGGCAGGCGACATAAAGGCAGGCGACATAAAGGCAGGCGACATAAAGGCCGGCAACCTAAAGGCAGGCAACCTAAAGGCAGGCGACCTAAAGGCAGGCGACCTAAAGGCAGGCGACCTAGACGACCTAAAGGCAGGCGACATAAAGACAGGCGACCTAAATGCAGGCGACCTAAAGGCAGGAGACCTAGGCGACCTAAAGGCAGGCGACATAAAGGCAGGCGACCTAAAGGCAGACGACCTAAAGGCAGGCGACCTAGGCGACCTAAAGGCAGGCGACCTAAAGGCAGGCGACATAAAGGCAGGCGAACTAAAGGCAGGCGACCTAGGCGACCTAAAGGCAGACGACCTAAAGACAGGCGACCTTAGCGACCTAAAGGCAGGCGACCTAAAGACAGGCGACCTTAGCGACCTAAAGGCAGGCGACCTAAAGGCAGGCGACCTAGACAACCTAAAGGCAGGCGACCTAAAGACAGGCGACCTAAATGCAGGCGACCTAAAGGCAGGAGACCTAGGCGACCTAAAGGCAGGCGACCTAAAGGCAGGCGACCTAAAGGCAGGCGACCTAAAGGCAGGCGACCTAAAGGCAGGAGACCTAGGCGACCTAAAGGCAGGCGACCTAAAGGCAGGCGACCTAAAGGCAGGCGACCTAAAGGCAGGCGACCTAGACGACCTAAAGGCAGGCGACCTAAAGACAGGCGACCTAAATGCAGGCGACCTAAAGGCAGGCGACCTAAAGGCAGGCGACCTAGGTGACCTAAAGGCAGGCGACCAAAAGGCAGGCGACCTAAAGGCAGGCGACCTAAAGGCAGACGACCTAAAGACAGACGACCTAAAGGCAGGCGACCTATGTGACCTAAAGGCAGGCGACCTAGGCGACCTAAAGGCAGGCGACCTAAAGGCAGACCACGAATACAATGGATTGATGATGCAGAGGCGGATCTACAACAGCTTGGGGAGAGGTGTTCGAGACGAAAGGTTCAGGAGAAATCTGAATGGAAAGATATGCTGTGCAGGCCAGAGTCCTCCCTGGGCTGTAGGGCCAGTAGGATGGATGGAAGAGTAATTAATAAAAAAATTTGAAGATAAGATTTTGAGAATCATTTGTTATATTTACCAAGTTATTACATTAAATTCAACTTGCTCCATGGCCTGACCCATAGACTTTAACTTTACTTGCATCACTTAAATAATAAAATACACAATTTGGTTGGTTTTACAATGAATCAAATAAAAACTATGACCCATTTCTCCAAACACTATTTCGGCTAGTTGGCCGTGTGGCTTGCGCCTCGAAACCTTTGTCAAAAAGCATCAGTGTTCAAATGCCGACCATATCGTTTCAAAATCACATTGTTTACTTCCGGAAATGGAAACGACAACCAAAACCAATTATCGGAAAGACACGCCTGTGCCTGTAAAGCAGCGGTATCATCTCAATTCTCAGCTATCTAAACCTGTATTCAATAGCACTCAAGTCAAAAGAAGAAAAGGCTAGTACGCCAAGTTCAAGGTCTTAGGAAAAGGTAAAGGTTATGCAGAAAAGGACATTGATTTAATATTCTTTGATCAAAAATTAATTCTTTTTTTTTTAAATTGCAGTTTGGATAACTGGCGGCAGGGCCAGCGGGTGTCTCTGATAATAAATCTGTAATTAATTGTAAAAAAGTTTGAAGCCTGAAGTGAAAGAAATACAGACACAAATTACAGTCTTTAAAAAGTGATATTCTAGAAATTTCTTTGGTGTATAAATATGCATGAGTTGAATTAGTAGAATTTAATAATTAATTAAAAGCAATATTAATTTTAAAAACTTTCATTTCCTTAAAGTACACAAAAGTAGTTACACCCACACATTTATAAATATATTATCATTACTATTATGTAAAGTGATAAAGTATAGGTTAATCATGTTTCAAATTTTCTCTTTAATTCTTTATGATTTAATATTTGTGAAATGTGAGAACTTACAAATAAAAATTAAATAAAAAGTGGCATATAAAGCCCAAAAATAGAGGCCTAAGGCCCAAGGATTCCTATGATGACAAAGCTAAAATTGAATAGCGCAAATTCTGAGGTTTCCAAAATAAAAAAATATATACTTATAGTGTCCGTCTAGTCGTGCATAATGTTATGAATGTGATTGTATTATGATTGTGATTGTGTCATGAATGTGCTTGTGTTGTAAGCGTGGGTTAGAGTTCACCTTGTGTCCATGTCCAGTGGTACAAATAGGTGAGTGTGTTGTGTGGATGCGGGGTTGAGTCTTGGAGGTGAGCAAGAGAGAGAGATGCTGGTTCAATCCTCGGACTATTAAAATGACTGTCCAAGCGAGACCGATCGTTCTAGAAGTTCTGAACACAGACCTGCAACGTCACAGCCTGTGGACAGTTTAGACCATTTTAATTTCCGACTCTCGTGTCGCGGGCCACATGACCACAAATGTACAAAACCAAACGAAATTGACCTGAAACAATTTGATTAGAAACTTGTGGGTCTAGTAATTAAATTAATTATTCGGATATAAGAAATTCATTTTTTTTACGCCTCGGAAACTTGCTTAATTTTTCCACTTACAATGTGACCAACATTGTAGATAGCTAGAGAACGACGTGCAGTGTTCTCTGTTGTTGGTAAATATTTCCATCGATCCTTCAGGCGTAGTTTAATCATCTTTAATTCGCTTCTCAAACTAAGAATATTTTATAATCCGTTTCTATGTTGCTGTGCTTTATAACAGACACACCTTTACAAAAAAAAATTGTAGGCTTATTATCATGTCCACAAAAAGGTCAAGATCCGTGTCCTGACAGATTCCAAAGTCCGAGTCCGTCAAGATCCGTGTCCTGACAGATTCCAAAGTCCGAGTGTCCACTTTTAGTTTTGTCGGCTCTTCCATTTCATAAACTTACAAAGTGTAACTACCATGGGACTAAATCCTTCGGAGAAAAAGTCAGGGCCCTGAAAAAAAAAAAAGGGGAGGGGGGGATTTTCTACACTTTGTACCAACGACGGGCCGGATGAAACCACGTCACGGTCCGGATCTGGCCCGTGGGCCGTATTTTGGGCAGCACTGGTTTAGACCAATAGCTCGTTGCCATGTCGTACAGACCTGCCCACAGGTTATGACGTGGCATGTCTGTGTTGAGGACCTCTATGACGAATGGCACATACCACGTGACAAGGGCAGCCATCCATTTTGTTGGTCTAGTCAAGTTGTAATGCAAGACCCTATTCCCCAATTCTTTAAAAATACAATTTGAACAACAAAAATGTCTGAAAAATAAAAAGTCAAACTTTTGAAATGAAACAAAATTTTTTATTCAACGTTTTTGTTTTGTTATTTTAATTATAGATGAAAACAATATTTAAAAAAAACAAAACATGTTACCACTTTAGACGAAAAAAAAGGTTTAAATTCAAGAAAAATTGTCGACATTTGACAAAACGATACACCATACATTGAATGATAAAGTATACATATGCATTTTTTTAAGCTCATAAAATTTTGTGTGTGTACAGTATAAAAGCTAAAAGTAAAGTCATTAAAAAAGACACTACACAAGCATCAGATACAAGAAAAGTCTCAAAAGACACTTTATAGCTATTCAAAGTAAGGGGAAACTGTATTCCAAATTTATATAAAGAAAACATAAAAGATTTTAAATGTAAAACCAGATGACCATGTACATTGCACAAAAATTGAACATTTATTTAAAAATATGAAACTAATACATTTGTACAACCTTTGACGTTATATATGGATACTGGAAATAGCAGAATACAATTATGTATACTTATTAATTGATTGATTAGTTGCACGTAGTTTATTCAAAAATTTTTCATTTTTCTCACCAAGCATTGTGTTTATAGGAGATGTTAATTAATAATTCTTTTTCTTTCTATTAGTCATTCTATGCTTTTTCTTTATCACATGTTTGGGGGGTTCGTTCAGAAGTGAAGATGATCACATCCCAGCTGAAAACTGAAGATGATCACATACTAGCTGAAAACTGAAGATGATCACATACTAGCTCAAAACTGAAGATGATCACATCCTAGCTGGAAACTGAAGATGATCACATACTAGCTGGAAACTGAAGATGATCACATCCTAGCTCAAAACTGAAGATGATCACATCCTAGCTAAAAACTCCAGCACGGTGGCAGGAGATGATTGCCACCAGGGTTCGAACCTGAGATTATCAGGATGACAGCCCAGGGTGCATACCACATCACCAGGAGGCCATCTTATTATATACTTAAAACAGCAAGAGACAAAACTTAAAGTCAAATAGTTTCTAGAAGCTAGTCATTGACAAAGTATTAACAGAATTTGCGTTCAAAGTGATGATGAAACACACACACACACAGAAATCAAGTTCATAGCCAGGCTCCTCAAAGAAAGACATTAACAGGTGACGACGCAACAAAGCCAAGTAAAAAAGGGACACAACTATTTCAGAGGTAGATGATCTCACACAAGCTTCCGAAACAAACATGAGTGTGAAACAAATGAATGTGTTCATTCAAATAGTAGGCCCATCAGTGTCTGAATCATCAGGAGACAATGAGTGATGCCAGTACGACTTTCACTTGCGGAGTCTCAAATATCTGCAGGAATCATTCTAATTCATGTGACGTTTGTCTCAAATAGAAGTTTTAATTTCTCTAGAGGCAATCAAATGCAGATGTCTGAATTACAAAATAGTTCATTGTTATAAATTGTAATTGTTAGTAAGAAACCCAATATTAAATCCCAGAAGTACCTATTTGTCTAGAATTATCATTCTAATGTGATATGACACGGACTTCACTGATTAATCATTTAAAACGGATACGATTCACCACATTTAATTAGAAATTATCTTCTACAAATAAATAGGTGTATAGCATTTATCTGGTTCGAAGTGAAAGTTGATTGTGCTTTAAAATTAAATTGGATACAGCAGGGATAATTGTAACAATTGTTTATTTTGACACAAAAAACTGTAAGAACTAAATAGTCTTTAAGGATTTCCTCACTAAGCTAAGGCCTGGAATTTTTATTTTTTTTATTTTTTTTAAAGTTATGATAAAAACTCTGAGAAACAAATAATTCAAATGAATGAACTAGATCTAGCAACATCTAACCGCACATTTTGGTGGCTCAAGCATAGAGTGTGATTATTACACAAACATTAGAATTGTAATGAAAACAAAAAAGTAAAATGACAATGGACAAGAATATAACATTATAGGAATTATAAATAGGGATGTTTCTTGTTGTTTTGTTTTACACTGACAAAATTTGGGGTTTTCATTAGTGTTGGGGACAAGATGATCATTTGGCTCTTGTTAAAAACAAAAATCTTGTTTTATATGTAGGTGTGTTGTATCTCTGACCACATGGACATGAGAAATGACCTAAGTACATAATTTACAGAGAAAATGTACAAGTACTCTCAAGATGCTGACAGCAAGTCTAAACAATAAATACAATTCATCTAATCCATTGGCTAACCTGCATCTGTGCAACCTCAAACATTCTCAATGGCCATACGTTTAATTTCTTAGTCTTGAAATTCTATATCAGATCTAAGGTAACCCTGGCACTGCAGAAGTATAGAGAATACGTGGGGATCTACATCGAAGAATGGAATAATATAAAGGGCGAATACTCAATAAATGTTGAAAAGGTATTATCTAGGGGGGTTAATTCCCTTTTCATTATAAAGTGCTGAATGTCGTAAAAATATGAGGCCCGAGAGCAATGCTTGAAGAAACAAAATGAAACTATGGAAATAGAAACATTTTCATGGGCAGAACAATGTATTATTTTCGAATGGGTTCAATGCACATTCAGTGGCAGCACTTGAATAAGAAGAAACTCCAAAAACGTCTTAACACCATGTTGTTTTGCATTTCATTCCAAATTTTGAAGACCCGTCTGCTCCTAATTAATAATTCTATGTAGGCCATTCTAACCAAAGGACTGAGTTTTGTCATAAGACTCAAGCTTAAAATGAGATATAAGGGGCATGATAAAACGCTTCCCTTCTGAACCAAGTGGCCTTGAGTTCGAATCCTGGTGAACTTTGGAATTTTTCAGGACAACCCTAAGTCCACCCAAACTCTAATGGGCTTACATTGGGGAAGTAAAAACAATGTCCTCATTGTGCTGGCCACATGATATCCTTGTTAACTATGGTCATAGGAACAAATGAAATGTACATCTTCTGACCCAGGGTCTGAAAGGGGGTAGCTTTTGACTCTTTTCACATGCCTTCCCCAATTCATTTCTACAACGAACTGTTTCATCCACAGTTCATTCGTCCGTTTTCAGAAGATTTTTTTTTGTCACTATAGGACTCCATAAGCATACAGATCTGTACAATTTAGCGGCAGAAACAAATCCATTAACTTAGGAATCAAATCACACAAAAAATTGTAACAAAAAATCACTGAGGTATCATGTATAAATTTTTTTTTTTTTAATTTAACAAAAGTATTAAAAATATATGACAAAATAAGATTAAAACAAAAATGGCACAATATATAATCATATCACCAGATCAAGACAGGCAATGAAATTATTTACATACTAATAATCTTTCTAGCAGACATCAGAAGATGAATAAATGTTTTCCTAATTACTCACATACACATCAGAAGTAAACAAAAACTGAATCACAGACATTCTAGTATATACAAGGTTGTCTTTTAACTTATCTCAGTGTCCTCAACCAGCAGACGACAGCTTGTGAAGCTTAGCACCACTTTAATAAAGAACAAAAGAAAAACTAGAGAAAACAAATTGTCGACTCAGAACAAATTTGAACAGCTATTAGACATTATTACTTTTATTTTTAAAATGTTTTGTATTTAGATCCAATCAGCTTAGAACTAACTTTTAATTAATCTTTGCAGTACAAAATAAGAAATTAATTATAGGATCATGGCTTGTCATTCTATGAACAAATTTATTAATGCTTACTTTTGGATTTATGTTATTTGGATAAAACAGCCAGAAAGATATTATAAATAAATGTTATATAAATATAAATATATAAATATCTATTTGGGTAAATAATAATTTTTTTAAACTATTTAATATACGTGTAAGATTATTTGCTTAAAGGAACACATTTTTATTGAGAAGGATTTGAAATACCAACTAGATAGTTAAAGTTGACAGACCCAAAAACCAACAGTAGATAAGATACACTACTCACCAGATAGAAAAAAAAAGAGATATATATAACTTATCACACTTTTTTTTTTTAAATTGTCCATTTGTCTATTTCATTACCCCATCATAAACTGATACTAGTATCTAGTCAGTTTCCCTATATCAATATTGTACAATTTTTTAAAGAATAAAATATTGCACAGATATTTGCTGGATTTCTAGAAACAAATAAACATGACAAGAGACTACTTTTTTTAACACTTGTGGCGCAGCAAAGTTAATGTATAATGTGTTTGTATACAAGAACTAACAGTTAAAAGTGTCAATCAGTTCAGAACTTTGTCTAAAAAAAAACTTTTTAAAACCAGTATCAACCACACACAAACATACAAGTACAATCCCTTGACTACAAAGCAGATCTCAAGGATGCTGCTGATCTAGGAGTTTTCACTTAACAATCTAGGACTGTTTCCCCTTAAATAAGTCTATTCAATGTTTTCTTCACCCCATTTGAAACAAAATTACTTAGTATATATAACAGCTTCAATAGCTTTGTGGTTCACCGGGCAGTCTATTAGCTTCTTATTTTCAAAAACAACTACTATTGGGTGTGAATTAAGAGTGGTGTTTGTGGTCTGTCAATAAGACAATGTAGAAAGCCACTTAATTAAGTCCATAATTGTAGGAGTCTATAATAAAAGTATAGGTACTAAGTCATTCTAAATAGGTTAAGCTGACATATACCTAATAGCAATAGCAACTTATTCATTACTTTCCATCTCTCTGGCTGCTTGTTACTTTATTTAAATATTTATGATACTAATCCTAAAATGAACAAGATAATTAAAAAAATTAATTAAATCAACACAAAGAGGAACAAAAATGCTCTAAAATTTTCATTAAAAAAATTCCTCTAGGTTACATTCATATGGACAAAAAAGCAACAAAAAAAATGTAAGCACAATGATATTAAAAAAGAGTTTCAACAAATTGTAGCCAATTCAGTTAAAGTCAAACTGACTCCAGGATTTAGAATTTCACATTTCAGTAAGAAAAATACTTCCAGTGACTGAGGCAAAGTCTGAAGGTTTGAGAACCACTGTTACACAAGACACACTTTGAAATCAAATCTTTTACTCCCTTGATAAACTCAGACTAAAATAAATCGTAGCTAGACACACAAATGACAAACAAAAGACAAGGACGTATTCATTTTAGACATTGAACTAAAACTGTTGCTTCCTCTTGTCCAGCTGCGCTGACCTCACACTTGTCTCAGAAATAAATAAATAACACAAAAACTACACAGGATGCCACCAGAACAGGAAGTCCTCTCAGCGGCTTTAGTTTTCTGACGATGGCTGTGGGAGACTCACAGCTTAAAAGTCAAGGTCAGAGTTATGTTTCACCCTGAAAAGGAGAAGGTCACGACTTCAGTGTGACATAATGAAGGTTGAAGGTCATGACTACCCGCTCTGTAATGAAGGTCAAGACAGGCACACAAGAACGATGAATGAGACAAGCAGATGGAGGCCCCAATGCCAGGACACGGCAGCGACGCCTAAGTTGTGACCAAGTTGGTTTTCAGAGCTTGCCCTCTCAAGGCCATCGGTCCCAGTCCCTGCTCAAAGAACAGAAAAAAAAACGAAACAAGATTTAATGTGCAGCAGGCCAATAAATCTATAATCTTTGTCTTAGAAACAATGTAGGGGCTAAACTTTACCCTAAATTAAAATATTTTAAATAATAAGTCAGGATAAACAAATTCTTTAATCAGCTACTTCCTTTAAACAATTTTATAAAAGCTTCGATACATTTTCATAGTTTAA